CCAAGAATGCATTTCTTTCTGCACATTTGATACAAGCCGAGATGGCGTAGTACGCATTGAATAGTGCATCGGAGATATCAAGGTGAATACTAGAATCAAGGTTTTGAAGTAGAATCGCACATTCATTGCATAGCTTGGTCGCTTGTGGGCCACGATCAGTGTTGAGAAGAAATATGGTGACAGCTAAACCTATGTGGACTGATTTTAGGATTTCTGATGTGTCACTCATTACGATTCTTTCCTGTTTGTTGTCGTGGAAAAGAATAAAAAAAAAAAGAAGACTTAAAAACTGTAAAAATAAAAACTGACATATGTTGGAGTCCTTAAGCTTTTTTAGTGAGGTGGTTGTTTTCTTCCTTTTTCACTCTTTTATTCAATGCAATCCCAAGTCAATAAGCTGGGTTGAATTCAGATAATCGTGGAGCAGATTTGAACACAGCTATCAAGAGACTTTTACCAATAAAAAAGAGGTTAATTTACGAATCGTGTTATATTTGCATTAAACTTACAGTACTGTGCAAAAGTAATGCAAACGATCATTGTCGAATATCGCGTTTTTTTCTTTGTTCGCCGTTTAATTTTATCGACACCTCACAACGATAAATCGACGAGATATCGGAGGTTTTGGCGATAACTTGTTCTGACGATAAATCGTTCCAACGGTATATTGTTCCGGCGATCTATCGCTACAACGTATGCATCATATAGCGTATGGAACATCATCACGACATATCGCTTCGGTGAAATATCTCTTCAGCGATTTATCGTTGAGCCAGGGTTGAGTTATTGTAATATGCATTCTAGCGATATTTGTCTCTTAGCAGTATCTTTAATTATTTAAACTCGGTAACAATCTTAAGTAAAAACAATAGCTATCGAAATACAAACAATATAAAATTGGATAAAAACCATCAATATACTGTTTTATAAGATTGCCGAGTGAGAATCTAATGACTCAAATACACAATTAATTCACTTTTTAAATTCACCCATTAATCTGATTTCTCTGACATTCTCAGGTAACGAGTTCCACAAAAAGGTACTACTGTAACTAAGACTAAGCTTTCAGAAATTAGTACGTGGCCTTGGCAATGTCAGTTTACAAAAAGAGTTACGCAAATCTTAGGTTCTGCCTCGCTCGTTGAACATGTCCCGCAAGTACATTGGAGCTACCTCGTCCAGGGATT